TCCCAGAGATGCTTTCTGTGTGGAAAGTCCAGTATCCTCTAAAGCATCCGCATGAAGCAATGTTTCATGATCTGGCAAACTAGATGCACCAGTTGGCTCGACTGTGGCGTAAAGAAAGGAAACACTGTCACTGCTTGCATTTGCGAATACTGTGCTGCTTCCAACATAAAGAACATCAGAAGTATTTAGCTCCACAGCGTCTGCCGTAGAGGTGACTGGAGAGGGGTGATGGATATCAAGTATGTCATGTGTCTTTTCACCTTCTTGTGAAGTTGCATCACTATTCTCCTCCTCATTTATGTCACTGGCAATGTCTCTTTTCTTGGTTGTTAAATAGAAACGTAGAACAGGTAACTTTGTCTTTTCATAAAGTTTCCCGACTGTGATACTGTCCTCTAATGAATGCTGCTGAAAGTCAGTTAAATCAATGTCAAAATCAGTAAGGCTCCCCTCTGCATTTTTTCCACCTGGAAAAAACAACCGCAAAGCTTTTTCAATCAAGTTCTGTTTTTTACTGTCCTTTGAGACACTCTCTTTACTGGTTCCTCCACCCTTTTTGGTGCGTACCTGCATAAATTCCCCTTCTCTGAAATGCATCCATTCCAGCTCAGTTTTTCTCTGTGTCTTCTCAGCATTCTTTGGAGGTGTTTGGCGTTCTCTCTCAGACACCTGATCACCTTTGTTTCTTGCAAGCTTTTCTATAAGTTGCTCAAAGATCTTTGAATTGCGACTGCTTGGTTCCTTTTCTTTCTGTCTGCAGTATCCTAAAACAGCCAGTCGATCACCATAGGATGGCAGATACTCTTTTAGCTGGTCATCTGTCATGAAGCATATGATACTGGAATCAATCTACAATGAAGAAATATTTCATGAACTCCTAGGTCAAATGGATTAAGTTAGAACTATATTAACTACCTTCTCCTGTTCCATTCGCTGTATGTCTTCCTCAGGCACATGTCGTGACCTTAAATAATCACTCAACGCATCCATTTTATGACAGAACAAAACACCTCTGAACCTCTGTTGAATAAAATCAAAGGTTTAATGTGATATTAAAGAAATAAAATACATACAGTTGATTTTTACTAATTCTTTTTGGTTTGTAGTTTTGGCATTCTCTGGTTTTGGTCGCACCCCCACCCCCAAGCTCCTGAAGTATACAATATTTTCATGTTCTCGTTACACCCGACCCTGTCTGGTCCCTGCCACCTGTGTTATATATTTTCCTTTTAAAAAATATATTTTTAGTGCTAGTTTTCTGTTTCCGGTTTAGTGGCGAGGTGAAATTATACCAGGGACTCAATTCAAATTGGCAATGGGCCAGAATCAGAAGAGAATTATGACCCAGCTTGTATTAATAAAATAAGAATCAATTAGCTATTATACTAAGTCAAGATCATGCATACATTTATTGTATGTTTGGTGTGATTAAAAACTGAACCTTTGACTATTTTTCTGTTTACACGACCAACTTCAATGGTGATAAGAGCATTAAAACACAAATGGCAAGAATCAACTACTATATATATTTTTGCTAAATAAATTACAGTCAAACTTTAACCACTGCGTAACCAAATATTTTAGTTACACTGTGTATTTTAATAAAGTACTGCTACTACATAAAAGGTTTAATTATCACTGCCACTGAATGCCATTGAACCTACCATAGACGCCTGGTCCATGGCTGGTGAGGGGATGAGCCAAATATTTTTCAAAACACCTTGGACATAACATGGTAGTGTAGTTCCTATTAACTAATTAATTAATTAATAGGAGAGAGTACAACTCTAGTAAACATTGATACATACATGCATAAATTATAGGCCTACTTGGTTGAAGTTTGGCTATGTGCAATAATTTATTTAGAATCAAGAGTGAGCAACTCAGGAGTAGCGTTACTGAGCGTTACATTTCAGGGACACCATCTAGTGGTGTGTGAACGTTACGACAAACCCATAGTCGGAATGATTGAAACACTACTTTTATACCTAATATTTAACTTTTACTAATGTCACCTGTAATATTCATCTTACCTTTAGAGTTGCATATCGTTTGCATGCTTAGGCCAGGTAGGTGATGAAGGAACGTTTGAAGATGCGCACTTTGTATCTCATAATTTCGACTTAATGATATTTAATTTTTTTATCCAGGTTTTCCTCGATTGTTTACACACATTTTCTGAAAGAATGCCTCATATTCTCAGAACTCTACACACAAATCAAAAAACACACACACAATGGGCAAAACCCCTCAATTCTCCTGCAAAATGAAATTTTACATTCAAAACTGTTTTCTTTTCAAAATGGTATTTTGTTTTCAAATGACACACACAAACCATCATATGAATAGACATAAGAACCAGTTGAACACTGATGTGCTCAATGTAAAACACTTCTTCTCCATTCATCATAATGACTTAGGCCTTTTTTTGTTCAGTGTTACACTTACATGTTGTAAAATATTTGAGAATATTGTTTTTATACTCAGAACACACAAATACACGGTAACAAATATATTTTATTTGTCCCACAAAAACAATGTACACAGTGTACATCCCATTCCCAACCAACACAAAGTTGCACACACACTACATACAAAACAGAAGAATTTACTGTACACAGTTACAGTAAAAAAAACAAAAACCTAAAAACAAACTATGCTGCATCCTCTCTTCTGTTGCAGTCTGGCCACAGCACCTCATCCACATCACAAGCAATGTTTTCCCTGGCCAAGCAGCAGGGGAAAATTTCACGGCGATTCCAGCCATGAAAAGCATCAGCTGCTATATCTCCACATGCATCCTCCATAGCTTGGAGGAGAGGTATACGCGTTTGTGGATTTCGGTCATACACTTTCCATCTCCAGGCAGAAAAAAATTCCTCAATAGGATTGAGGAATGGAGAATATGGAGGGAGAACAACAACAACTAAAAAGCGTGGTTGGACAGTGAACCAGTTACGAACCAGAGCAGCCCTGTGGAAACTTACGTTGTCCCAAATGACAACGTACCTGAGCTGCTCTGGGCCGTCTACCTGATCTGGTGGAATGAGTGTTGTGTAGGGTGTCCAGGAACGTGATAAGATGGACGGTGTTGTAGAGGCCAAGGGTAGCATGGTGATGGATAATCGCTGCACACAGTGTGTATTCCCTCCGCGCTGGCCAGAGACTTCAACAATGGCACGCTGGCCGATGACATTCCTTCCCCTCTTTCGTCTTTGTGAGGTTGAACCCAACCTCATCAAAGAAGATGAACTGGTGCTCCACTGCAGCCACCTCTAGCTCAAGGACTCTCTGAAACACACATGACAATATCAGAAATAGACATGGAGTGGTCACTATTATGAAGCACAATCATTATGATTACAATATTGAAATATGTATGATTTACTGAATACAGTGTTGAGAGTATGCATCAATTGTGGGACTCACTTGCACATAGTTATATCGCAATTCTTTCTGAATTGCGTTCAAATGGCACCCTGTAGACCTGCTTCATCCTGAGAGGATTTCTGCGCAAGACACGGTCCAGTGGTGATAAGCTTACCCTATCAATATTTTGAAATATGTCGTTGTGTTCCATTATTTTTTCTTTGTATTTGCTGTAATGTTAAGGCGTTGTTTTCTAGGACCATGTTTATGATTTCAGCATCGGAACTCGCCAAAGTCATCTTCCGACCTGATATTAGATTTTTTTATTCAATACACAAATATGCTTATTTGTTGGACAGGGAAGCTGTGCGCAAACAGGAGTGATTATATTGTATATTCATTTATTTTTAAAAAAGAAACCCAGAAAAAAGGTCAAAACCTGCATAGATTTGGGTTGGAATATTGAATTCTCATTTTTGTCATTTGTTTCCTTTCACCATGCCATGTCAGCTGCACTCCTCCCTTAGAGAGAGAGATACTTAAAATACAGCAGTGTGTATGTGTGTGCATAAAAATCAAATCCCTCATCTTCAGCTCTGAGTAGGCCTCTCGCTGGCTCCGCTTCCCTGTGCTGGACCCTGACTCTGTTTGTACTGATTGTACAGCTACATATGAATGGGAAGAACATCAGTAATATCACTAATAATGATCCATTTTCTAATTCTATCTATGCGATTGCCTACCCAGCCCTGCACACTGCTATTGTACCTGCCACTGTTTTGTCTGCTTCCATTGACCTTCTCTTCCTCCTTCTCCTCCTCCTGTTCCTCCTCTTCCTTCCCTCCCTCCTCTTTAACATGATTGTGGTCATCACCCTTTCTCTCTGCATCACCTCCACAGACCTTAACGGCTCATATACATAGAGAGATTATTCACTTATAGAATGTCATCTTTGTGTGATAACACATTGTTTTCAATATATATAAATATATATATATAGGGCCATGCTTATACATAAATAAATAAATCAGTATATAAGATAATCATTACGTATCGTGCACCTGTCCCTGCCTGTGTTGGGTCCTGTCTCATCTGCACCTGAGTCTTACTCTTTGAAAATAAGACAGGTTTATTCAGTCAGCGGTACGACACAACATGGCTTCAGTCCAACACTGAAAACCCTATGGCGTCTTCTCCATATCTTCTTACACCATCTGATGGCCGCAACATTTACAGTCACTCAAGTCTTGAAGCTGCACAGAAAATTTTGCATCTAACTCCTCTTTTTCAGCTGTGACACTATAAGAGGCACTGACTGTCGTTGTTGTCGTCCTCCATTGTAAATTGATCAGTGTATCTGCTAAGGTCAAACCTAGTTTATAACCTCAAGCTAACCACAATCTCAACCCTCCACTTCAGACTGCATTTCCTCTGATAGATTACGTTGCAAATTTTTGCTTGATAGCAAGTTCTGTCATCTCAATAATTCTTTCCTACAAAGGGTTGGTCATAGAAAAGGTAGAAGCAAGCAGCGTAGCAAAGTGGAATGAACTAGAACGGGGAAAATACCATGCCCGACTGTTGGACTGATTTGATTAGATTGTTTATTAGCCACACGACAAATGCTGGTGGAATTTGTTTTTGGTGCAGTATGTTAAACTCACAACGCACAATGCATACATACATGGACATCAGCAGACACTCCACATAATATTGCAAAATAATACAGGAATACATTAGGAAAATAGTATGCAAGCCTGTAGTGTGAGGAAGGTGCTAGAGGGAGGAGTTCAAAGTCCTTATAGCTGTGGGGACAAAGCTGTTGAAGGGTTTAGTCCTAGTGGACAGTGATCTGTAACACCTCGTGAGGGATCCCTTACGAGCCTAGCCCGACCCTCATCTGCATAAGCTTGCTTGTTTTGACGGTCTACCTGGTTATGACCCTCGCCTGCTCTTAGAATTTAGTAAACATGAATGTTTATCTTGTACTGACTGTCTGTGTCAAGCTTCTCTGAGGCATTACAGACCTTATCATACATCAACAACGTGATGTTTAGACTTCATACACAAAATCAATAAATTCCATTCCATTCATTTGGCAAACACTCAAACTGGAAACAACTTACTTTCCAGTAGGTCACAGGACCAGCATACACAATTCCCTTTCTGTGGTCACACACTCACAAGCTTTCACCGATCTGCTAAGTACTCAACAAATAACACAGTTTTACCACTGTTGTTTTTATTTGACAGTGCATCCATTTATTATTAATGATAAATTACAGCAGAAAATACATTTCCGTATTTCAGTAGCACTCAATTAACCTCCTTCACTTCATTAAAAGGCACTTGCACCAGGACTCCCAACAAAATAAAGCACTGTAGTAGAGAAGCATTTTATGCTCAGTCTCCACATTCAGTGGTGTCACCCATACCAGTAAAATGATCAGATGTAATACCTAATCCAACAGACCCTGGTTATAAATATAACATAATGCAGATTAAATAACTTTCCCAGCCAAATAGAGCATTGACACTGATGAATTCCCTCCTTCTGAAAGTTGTTTTCTTATTGAATCTTCATATTTTGGCCTCTAAAGCCCGTTGAGATATGTGAAACTGACTAATTTCACTTGACTAACAAAAGATAAAAATCCTGACAATAATTAATGAATCATCAAAGTTTGAATATTATACTTTATATACTGTAACCAGAAGGACACCTGATGTGGGGGTTGTGTGTTATGTGTTATGCTGTCACTACCATACCAGGGTTCTTTAAAGTTTTAGCTAATTAACCACATGTCCTGAATACTTCCAAGTATGGTATTTCTATATCAGCATCTATCCTTTCTCTTTCTGTAAAATGTGTTAATGACTCATGTTGCTTACAAGCTTACAGAGCAGTGTGATTGACTCAGCGATGTCAGTTACACAGCAATATCACACAAAAGTTTTCTAACATAAGACACTTTAAGCTACTGGTCCTACCAGACCACATAAAGACTGTAGCAGCAAAATACAGTGTTACTGAATTAGAGAGAAAGATTTTTTTTTCAGGAGTTACCTAGGCTCACTTTAAACTGCATTACCACACAATCGTTATGTTATTTTGGAAACACTGATACCAACTTGATATTCATAACACTTCACAGTAGCTCCATTTGTTTTGCTCCTGTGGTGTGTCAGGCTCCTGGCTGGAAGTCTCCTGCTGCAGGAACTGGTCCCAGTCTGGCCTGCGAACTGGTAGCTCTATCTGGAAGTGGTTCCAGAACCTGGAGACCCACAGGACAGATTAAAGTTTAGGACATTTTACAGTTAATGGGCAATGTAAGCACTGAGTGCCGTTGAAGTGGTTAAAGAGTCTGTTGAAGTTAAGCACTAAGAGGAACAGAAATCATTAAAGTATGAGAAATGGAGCTGGAAGTGTCAGCTGAGGAGTAATCACCGAAAACAAATGAACTCTCAATTGAACAATATATGAAAGCAGTGGAAGTGCCAGTCGAAGTGTAAACACTATGACCGCATTTCACAGCCAAAACCTGCAAGTTCAAATGAGATCTACACGTGTGTCTGGAGGAGCTGCACGTGCAAATCAAACAGCTGTGCACGCAAAATATTTTCCGTAGAAGCTCATAAACTGTTTTGCAGTGGCCATCTAACTGACTGACGGACCAGTTTGGCCCAATTATTAAACCAAACAATATACAAAACATTCAGCTATACGATTATTGTATCGAGTCATAGGCTGTATTTACAAGCTTTTGGCATGTCGCAAGTACAAGTTACACTCAAAGTCAAATGTTCTGTGTGATCAGTTTCTTGTTCAATGATGAAATAAATTTTATGGTGTCATTATTGTAGCTGTTTCCATGACTACACATTTGAGATTTTTTCTATAAATTAAAGAACAATTATGAGATTAACTGATCAGTCAATTGACAGAGGTTTTGATAGCAGATTTTGGCAGTGATATGCCGTCATACCAACAGTCGCTGGGTTCAGTGCACTCTGCGCAGCTGTGCACCGTCAAGCAATAAAAAGCTTTCAGTAAATGAGATTAGTGTGTGTACTTGTGGTGGTAGATATCCGGGTCTCGGCTTATGCGGTTCTGGAAGCTCTGTGAAAGAAGGAAGCTAAACTTCAAGGGCCACATGTGTAAACGATGTGTTCACCTTTTTCCACACATGAACTGGCATTTATTTTTTTAGTTAACATTGTGTGACAATATGCGTACTTCCCCATCCTATAGCATATCATACATGCACATGGTTTACAGAGCAAGTGAAATCTGATATGGTGAAGTGGAATTGAAAAATAAGGCGAGACAAATAGTATTCACAAAAATAATTGCGAATCTACTGAATTCTATGCCCTTGTGTGGCTGCTATAAATAGCTAAAGCCATGTGTAACGGTCGTGCATAAGGACGGCTGCTCCTGTGTTGTTGGAGGAATTTGCTGATGATACTTTAAGACAATGATTAGTATTGGTCTGTTGGCTAATGATGATGGTTGTCTTGTGTGCCACTTTAGGTGTCCATATGCAAAAGTTACACACGTACCCTTTAAAGAGTTAGATGATAGAAGATGATACATACCCTTGTCACATCTGTACACTAAATATAAATCTACAGCCAGGAGAAAGTTTAGCTTAGCATAAAGACTGGATGCAGGAGGAAACCACCAAAAAAATCCACCCACCAGCACCATTCCCTAATAACATGTTATATCTTGTTTAATCTGTAAAAAAGTGTAGAAACATCAGTAGTGATTTTATGGAGGTTTCAAGCTGGAACTGGTGCTAGCTGCATTTTATCAAGAAACACACATTACCCCCCATCAAACCATAAAACCTCTTTGGGATTTCATATTTATTTAAGATATTTTACCTCTCTTTTTCCTTTAGTAATTTATAATACATGGTTGTAGATATTTCCAACTGGATTAACTTGTTTATGCTGCTGAGAGTAGTTTGCCTGGTGCTTCACAATGTCTCACCTCTACGTAGCAGTGCTCTCTGTCAGGCCTCTTGCTGGGGAATGACAGATCCATAAAGTCCACCAAGTAGTCGTACCGATCAGTAAGGGGTTCAAAGTCGTCATCTGTCTCAATCACCTTTAATATAAATTAGCATTTTATCAAACAGACATCCACTTTGAACAATTTAGCGACAGAAAGAAAGGAAGTGAGGCTCAGCCAGTAGGACCCATTTCCAGGACCGCTCAAAGCTGGAAGGAAATACAAGAGGTGATAAGGAAACGCACCAGAGTGCTAGCTTTTAAAATGTCTTTGTTGCATGACATGAACTCTACGCATCCATTCAGTTTCTGTTGAGCTTAGTAAGATTGCAAGACCTGCTGTGACATGAACAAGCTCAGCAGCTGCTTCCTATACCTGCCAAATGATGCAGTTGTCCTCTACTTTACTTCAGAATTAACTATCACAACAACTATTAGATTGCTCAAAATGTTATGGTCCCCAAAGAGGATGAATCCTTTTCATGTTGATTGGTCATCCTCTGACTTTTCCTCCAGTGCCACCATAAGTACTTTTATCACCAAATACCCGCAGAACTATTGACACCATTAAGATGGTGACCATGGTAAACATTGTATCCGCTAATTATTAGCATGGTAGCCATCCAAGATGTTAGCGCTGTCATTTTTGAGCATGTGAGCTTGCTGCTGTTTGCTCAAATCATTGCCTTCCCTAAGTACAGCCTCACAGAGCCGCTAGCATGTCCGTAGACTTGCATTAGTTGTTCCCAATGAACATTTGATGATATAATACTGACATTGCCCTTAAGTTTATCTCCTTTTATGTCTACTGATTTAAATTGTTATTGTCTTTCTAGACATTTGTAGTTGGATGGTTTTAAACAGATTGAATTATTATTATTTTTATCATTATCATTATTATTATTATCAGTATATGTGAAGATTCTTATGGGGTTTGATGATGAACATTCAAACCCCTTAAGTTCTCTCCAATTTTATTTTGAAAGACAACAGATGTGAGGTAAAAAAAAAATGCCTGAAGTACATGTAACACATGGTCAGTGGTGGTTCACCCTATATGTTCTTGAACCCCTGGGGTGAATCCAAATATGTTTGTGCCCCTAAAAACCCAGTCACCAGTTTTCATAGGGACTATTTCTTTGTAGAAAAGTTATTTTGAAAATGTTCTGCACGAGGTCTGTGAATTATCCAAAGACATTTTCCAGTGCTTTAAGCACTACATTCAAATCTCTCTCATCTCACTGAAATCTCTTAACTGCATGGCTAAATGTAATTTGTAATTTGTAAAAATGAATTAGTTAAATTTCACCAAATCACTCCTTTGACTTTTTCTTATAGCAGAAAGTACAAGTGTAACAGGAAATGACAACAAAGGTCCCTCCACAAGGCGTCTTCCACACCACGATTCTTAAGTATAACCAAGCACCAGACCAAAGTGTGTAGCCTACCACCACGTGTAATTCATATGCTACAGTGCTCAGAAGAGTTTATGCACAGGAAGAGCCAGAAGTGTCTGCAGTACATGTTAGAAAAGAACAGAGGGGATCTTGCTTGTAGAGTATATTTACCCGCACAACAAGGTTGTAGTTTTGAAAGCCTGCCCAGGTGTAATAAAACTGGATCCAGCTTCGATGTTTAAATATCTCAGAGGTGATGGCGCTGTTCAGTTCATCAACATACAAGTCGAAATCCCAGCTGTCCTTGTAGATTTTTGCACTGGCTGGGGGATTGGTGATGGCTTCACTATGTTTGGTAGTGTAGTAAAGGAAATATTCAAATAGTAGATTACATTTGGAACTTATACGTCTTCATGTGTCAAATTTTATGAGTACATTTGGTTATATGGCAGTTTTCAGTGATAACAGTGGCAGATTTACTATTCAGAAATTGAAGCAATGCAGGGAATTTAGACAAAAAAAGATTTTAGGAAAAATGTAAGATCAGGCTGTTACAGTCTAACATAATCCCTGTGTGAATACTTAGCTTCCTATAGCAGAACATGGACAAGTAGTAGTAGGTTAGATATATGCTTTTTAGTAAGAATTATTTCTATTTTTACAGTAATGCTGATGAGGACTAACTTATGAGTTTGAGAAATGTAACGCTATTTCGGGTAAATCCAAGCTATGGCATTTAGTAGAGGTTCCAATTCTGAATGGGCAACCTCGCAAAATAATGTAACATTAGCCAACAATTTGCTCCTTTGATTTGTAAATTACTCTACATTAGCATCACTGCTGGGGGTAATAATGTTACAACTGAGCAGCCAAACACACTGTGGTTTTAGAAAGGCTAAAAGAAAAGACACCACAAACATTTTACATGTAGAGTTGTTTGTACTAGAGCTGACCGTGCAATTTGGATAATGCCCTTTTATGCTGAGTTTAGTTTCACCATTTAGTTCCGCCATCGCCGCAGCTTTATAGGTGGAAAAGCAAAACTTTGCAAACTTTTTGTTGTGGCAATGTCCACGTGTTCCCACATCTCAGCAGATCTTAACAGAGCGTTATTATATTGAGTAGAAATGACAGCCAAAACTCAACTGTCTGAACACTGCCTTGACATGTATGTTTTATGATTTATCTGTTGTAATGTACTAACTGAGTAAACAGTCTTCGTCCTTTCCCACAGTCAGATGTGACATCAATAACACACAATGCGCTTGAGCTGTTGTCAACCTGTTAGTGGGGTCTCTCAGAGCGAGGCCGAGGTCCAGCACAGCGCCTGGCTTTGGCGTCCATGTCTTGATGTCTGGTGCATGCTTATTGATGAGCGCATTGAGGTCCTCTGCACTGTTTTTAGTATTTGTATCCTTAATGTATCTGTGTACACACACACACACACACACACACAGTAGGAACATATACAAACGATAACTTTTAGATGGATCCAAGAATACCAATATGCCAGCTTTGTACCTGTTACTGTTTAGTCATATTATATTACTTTCCAAGATAAACTGCCTATCAACTATTAACCAAGTCTGACATTATTCAAACCCATTTCTCTTCGGCTGTTAATTATTTATCATCTATTGATATAGTATAAGTCCTGGTCAATCCCTCTGTACAAACTTTACCTGTCTGATGGATGAGCCTCCACAAAATAGCCAGCGAATGGGCAGTAGATCCTCGGCTTCAGGGACTTCACCAGCTGAGCTTTGTAATTCAGCAGCTTCTTCCTTTCATTCTTGACAAACTCTGCCTTCCAGGAATCTGCGTACAGACAAACACCATCATCTTTATGTCAGCGCTGTGGTATACACCAAATTTGATAGACTAAACTGTCAAACTCACGATGTGTCAAAAATATTCCAACTTATCTACACTGCGGTGTGCAGTGATGCGAAATTCCCAAACACTTAGATGAGCCTCACCACTGTATTTCCCTCCATAAAAGGTCATGGGGAATCCAGATGCACCCCCAGCAAAGTCACTCAACATTAAGTCCACATTCAGAGGCAGCTTGCCCCCGTTTGGTCTGGTGCAGTCCACAGTGTTCAGGATCATGTGACCTGTGATCAAAACACTTTTAAACAATCCATCATATGTATGTTGGTATTTAAAATATGAACATCACTGAAAAGCACTAACCTTTATATTCAACGATGATGCAGGTGTCCATTTCAGGATGTACACCATCCATCAGGATCATGAATCTCAGGTGTTCGTCAATCTGACAGAGACCAGGGGACGGATCAGTGAATGGTTACAGTTTTGCTATTTTTTGCTGTAGCGGAGTTTTTTCACTTCTATATTATTATAGCAATTTATTTTATTTAAATATTACTTGAAAATGATTTCAAAATGGCATTACTCTTAATTATTTTGTAATGTCATTATGAAAGGACCAGATGTGAGCAGCAGTTACTTACATCTTGCCAGACACCAAAAGGAACAATGTTGATGTTGGTCAGCTTGACTTGGCTTTGCTCCAAATACCTGTTGCATCAAGACAGAAAAAGGGACATGTGAATAATGGTAACTTAAAATAATAAGATGTAATGGATTAAACTGAGCTCCATGACTTTACTAACCAAAAGACAGGTCTCACTGTGTCACCAACATAAATGGGGACATCTGGCCTCCTCTCTGACAAGACTTTCAGTGTGGGGTAACTAGAAAAGATAGGACAGGTCAGATTACTACATGGCATTATCAGTGGTGGAAAGTAACAAAGTACAAATACTTCACTGTACTTAAGTAGTTTTTTTTGGTATCTGTACTTTACTTGAGTATTTTTACTTTCACTTCTCTACATTTCAAAGCCAAATATCCGACTTCTCACTCAGTTACATTCTAGACGAGACCTCGTTACATTGTTATTAGTCGCCTATGCAGCGCACCTGAGTGGAGCAGCATTGAAAAACAACTGTGAAACTGATAAAGGCCACTTGGCACGAATCAACTTCAGCCAGCTGATGCGACACCGGCATACGCAGTGATAGAAATCAGGTCACTCTCGCACAGAACTGGGTGGCCCCGCCTCACTGCCGTGTCAAAGGTGAAACCGAATGTTTACAGCTATGATGAGAGGGTAAAGAGGGACTATCCTTCTGGGAATGAGAAAAGACAACACTCAATGAGAGTGAACTGCGTGAACGCCAGGTAAACATGTGTTATCTTCTCGCAAACCGTGAGGTCAGCAGATAACATGTAGCCCAATGTTAATGTGCAGCTGCTGTGAATGTCTCAATTCAAGCTTATTACAGAGACAGATTGTTTCAATGGAGGAAGGATTGCAGTGAGAGCACTGTGGTGTCAGGTGTGACTGTGAAGCAATGGCAAATAATTTAAATGACTCCTGAGTCAGGTAGGAGAGCCCCATAGCAGAATCTTTCTTAGGGCCCCAGTAAAGTCAGAACTGGCTCTAGTTAAATGCCATCAGATTTGCAAATAAAGTTACGTGTGTGAAGTTATTCTCTGCTAAAACACCAGGAAGGTTGCTCTTCTTCATCAGTTTCCACTTGTGGGTGCAAATTTCAGTTAACTACGGAAAGAATTTGCCAACTTTGCGGGCACAGATTTTAGTCAGTTGTCAGCTTTCCAGGAGACCTGTTAGTTGATAAAAGTATCTATTTAACAACATTGCCAGAGTTTACCTGAGGTGGTCAGAGTGCATGTGGCTGATGTAGATGAGATCCGCTGAACACAGTCTGTCCAGTGAGTCTGCTGGAGGCTCATGGAGGAGCCACCAGCCTCTGGCAAATGCAGGACCCGTTAGCCAAGGGTCGAACATGAACCGCCTCTGTCCGAGCTGCAGCTCCATGCAGGCATGGGTGAAGTACGTCACCTGGGAGGGAAGTTCACAGTTTCTTATTGACAAAATTTGCAAATGTTTGTCTAAAAAAATGTTAAATATTTTTATGTATGTCAAATCCCTATTGTGTCATAACTCTTCAATAAATATAAATAAAACTTTGTTTAAGTAAGTAAGGAATTTGATTATGTTACAACATAAACATGGAAATGCTGGTTTTAATAGGTGTTTGTGTTAAGCTTTTCTATTGCAATCCTTACATGTCTCCACAAGACAAAATTGTGTCAAAGTATCGCATACTTTCATGTAAAAGTTGTATGCAATATGGTGTTAAAGGTGACTGTTTGAATGGCTTGATACATACTTTCACTTCTCCTTCCTGGAGCTCCAGAGGCTCTCGAGGGTCAGCGAGCCAGGGGTCCATGGGGCTCAACTCGACTAACTGAAGCCCCCCATCATCCAAGATCTCTACTTCTGTGTGTGACATAACATAAATGCTCAGCAGGATTTGCAAATGTGATTTACTTTGTTCTAAATGTTTTTTAAGATAAACACTGACGTTCAAAACAATACAATTCGAACCAACAGGATAAACCTGGGACATGTGATCACAGTGAGAGTACATCTCTCCCTCCCACTGTGTACAAGCCTTTTCCATCTATTCCAGAACCAATCACCATAAAGAGGTGATGACGATTTTGGAAACAAAGGATCCTAATCACTAAGAAAGGTAAAAGCGGGGGAAATATTGCTCCCATGATTTTCACCATGATTCATGGTCAAAAACAGGGCACTTGACCGATGGAAACTGACAAAACTGAGATGACAGAGCCTCACTGACTGAAAAGGCTCTCCACAGTCTGCCGTACTCGGGACTACCAAGACCTGCCTTTTGACCTGCGTTCTTACTTTCGTGGTTGACCATAAGAGAGTGACCTGACCTGTTCTGACACCATGTGGGAAAAAGGGGGCAGAATGAAGACTGAATTACTGATTTCAATAACATTCTAAGAGTTTTTTTCCCTTTAATTCCTTTAATTGTTCCTTTAACTGTTTGCTGTTGCCAGTGGTGGAAACTTGTTCTCTCCTCTACAAGTCTGATCAGCAGATAGCTTAACAGTAACGTTAATGCGCAGCTACAGTGAACCTCTCTGTCTGTCCGTCCTGCTAACCAGCTGAGCAGCGCAGCTCTTGTCTGTCATGTCTTGGTTGCTTGCCAGACTGCGACAGAACAAAGTTGAGTGAAATACAACTATGTATTACGTTTGATAAACGCCGACGGGCCAGGGTGTTTTTAAACTGCAGCTCGGAAAGATGACCGCTCTGCGCGTGAAAATACGTTCATATGCACAAAATTGATTTCACAAATTTGAGCAGGAAACATCCAGACAGGATGTACATCATCTACAAACAAGACAGTTAAATTTAGTTACTTCTCTGGACTAATGCAAGATGGGAAGCAGTGGATTCACGTTGACTATTAAAATGTTGATTAGCTGGACAGACTGGGTGATATGGATGCACATCTCAGTAAATAATACCCAGTCATATAAACAGTATTTTATATTTGAAAATGTATTGAAGGAAACCTGGAGGAGCCAGTTTGAATGGGCCTGATGGAGCTGATAATATTACTATATAGAAAATATCTATAATTTACAGGGGCTATGCTAAAGTTTGTCAGTGGAGTACAAGTGGGATCATCAGCCAGTACAAGCACAGCTGATCCACATCCAGCCTCAGCCAGTACCAGCACAGACCAAGTCCAGATGTCTTTAGCAAGTCACACAGACCCATGTGAAACACATCCAGCCTCAGCCAGTACCAGCACAGCCAAGATGTACTTAAGTATTTTTAAAACCAAGTACTTTTTTACTTTTACTTGAGTAGGTTTATACAGGATGACTTTTTACTTTTACTTGAGTAACATTTTTCATGTGGTAAGTATGAAAATTGAGTACTTCTTCCACCACTGGCTATTGCCTAAGGTAAGGATGGATGATTAACAAGGGTTTGCACTAAAATCTTAAAGTAAGATGGTTGAATCTGCTTCGATGCTAGATTTTGCAACCACTCAGGGTCAAAAATGGAAGGTAAACTGTCTGTGTTATTGGACACTGTGAGCTCCAAGGTTAAGACTCATTCAGAGAGGGCAAATGAGGACATGCTACTGTTAGTTTAGCCAGAGCTATCTTAGAGAGATTGTGGAGAAAAAACAACTACGGACGAACTGAAAATCTCATGCTGTAGTAATCTGTGTTTTTCCTACAGGTCCAGATGTGATCTTACGGTGGATTGAACCAACACCATGTGAATAATTGAAATACTTGTCTTGTAATTGTTGGCATATTAAGTAAAGAGGTTAAAGTTACCTTCACAGCTGTCCTTTGTTGCCATGTCTTAAGGTAATTATGTAATCGTTTTGCTAATTTGACAAACACCCCTGCCTAGTGTAGGTCTAACTCAACCACATAGAAAACGCACATCTTTAACAGATTAAATCAGGAAACTTTTTTAAGTCCCTTCTTAAAACATACTTTTATAGGAGAGCCTTTCCCGATCTTATTTGACTTTATTTGACTTTTATTTTATTCTATTTTACTAATTATATATTTATATTTATCTTAAACGTGCATTTTAGTCTTTTCAATGTTTTCATGCTTTTATCTTGTATTGTTTTTGTATTATTGTCTTTTGGGTATTATGGTCTTTACATTTGTTAAAGCACTTTGTAACTTTTTTTGAAAAGTTCTCTACAAAAAAAAGATTATTATTATTATTATTATTATTATTATTATTATTATTATTAATAAAGTGAGCAGTAATCTTAAGCCAGAGGAGCCAGTCTCTATGCATGCCAAACAGAACAAGTATATCCAGCTGCAGCCTTCAGAAAGTTGACGGAAGTTGAACTTCCAAATATGGTTTGTCCCAGAAGACACTGCGCATAAAACGTGTCCAGCAACAGCTGAATGATACTGTTAATGTTCGTACCGCTGTTATTCTATCAATAAATTCTCAGAAATGTTGTAAAGTTTTAACCTAAATCGAGATACATCTGGCTCTTGATGTAACATTACAGAATATTCTTGGTTTGTGAAACTTAAAATCACTTTGGAAGAAATAAAATATACAACATTGGTATGAATTGAAACATTGCTTTATTATTATCATTAGGCTATTATAAATAAATATTTGCAGGAATTATAGTATAAATATACTATATTGATCATATGTAATTATAGTATAGTAAATATTAAGACATAACATACAGTGATTACTACCTTGACACTTGACACCTCTTTTTTAACGGCTCTTTTTAAAAATTTAACAGCTATGCGTGGGCCGAGCGGTCGAGATGTGTGTTGTGCGCGGTGGCTTCTGGGACAACCCATATATGGAAGTTCAACTTCTGTCAACTTCCCTCACGTGTTTCCAGGCTGCAGCTTGACCCTTCTCAAACAGAAAGGATACAACTCTGGCAGTAACCTTTTCCTCATACAGCATGTGCCAAGCATTTAATTGTGTTGTCCTAAATCGAATCCTCCTCAACCTCCCTCCGCCCAGTCCACTAGTCCACAGGGCCTGGGACGGCCTGCTCACACACAGATATTAATGATACAGCACTGGTGCTAAATGTTCACTCCACCCAAACTTGAGAAATGTAGTTCCTTCAAAAATTGCAGTAGTAAAAGGTGTTAATATGTATTGAAATCACTAATTCCAAGTAACCCATAGATCTTGGTAATTTCTCTGTAGGTGTTCACACACCTGGGAGTCTATAGTAGTCAATAAAGTTAGCTGCGGCCTAATTTACACATGTTGTTTTAGCAAGTCCGTTGTTAGGCAAAGATTGTCTGGCATTAACATATCACACCCTCACAGAAAGAAACGCTCCATCACAGAACAGATCCAAGGTTGTTCCTTTCCAGGATGAATCTTAAATACAAAGACGTTTAATCCAGTGGTGTTGTGAATATACTGTGATTTTTCCCTCGCAGAGCGACGTCCCGTAAGCACCACTACACTCACTCATGCAAACAGCATGCATGTATATGTAATAGAGAGGCTCGGAGATAGAGCAGCAAAGAGGATATTGTGTACACAGATATATAAATTCACAATATAATACAACAACGATTAACAATTAACAACAAATATATGGCCATCTTTGGGAATATTTTCTAATTATACTTTGCGTTAAGGGTACAAATAACTTCCATAATGTAAAAATCTGAGTAGAGCACTATCTACACCTACCAACAATGTCCATAAGGCATCTAATTATGTCCTTGGGTAACTAATAATGAGTGTAAAAACCTCAAGATGATATGAGAAAAAGAACTGAGAGGTACATTTGATAAAGGGAAATGGGGGGAGACTCTTTCCAACAATGGAAAACACATCAGAAAAGCCAGAGGTAAACATACTTCACAGATATTACTAGACCCCAGCAAGACTCAATAAAATAGGCCTAATTAAAGACAGTATTTGGTAGTTGGAAGTGCAAAACAAAAGAAGGCAACTGTATTCATAACCTGTGCTCGACAAATTTTAAGATGTTGGAAAGAGCCAAACACTCGCTAACTGAAAATGTGGAAAGAACAAATGATGTATTTGAGCCATTATATTTTATATAGTTACAGTCTACATCATTTGTGTGGCTATGTAAACTATCCAAATTGTGCCAAATTTTAATTGATCATCTTATATTATTCTACCACAGTGTGTGTTTGTGCAGAGGTGAGCTTAGAACTTTATTTAAAAGCCCTGGCAGCTGTCGTACCTTGGAATAATTTTTTTTAAAACTAAAACTAAATGAAACAAATTTCACCATATTGCATTAGAATTTATAGTTTGTGAACACACCAACTCATTAGTTTTACAGTCTAAAGCATTAGAAATGCTTGATCTAGTTGAATTTCAAACAGCAGTAATTATGTACAAGGCTAGAAACAATCTGTTACCTGTATTTGTGGAACAAACTAAATGAGGAATTGAAGCAATGTCAAAACATATTCCGTTTTAAAAAGATACTTAGTACAAAGAAATTATATTCAAGAGGAACAGAGATGAAGTACAGTTCTAATAATCACCTGGGGTTCTATTTAATTAAAAGAAGTATGTATAGAAACATTGTTGTGTTTGTGTGAATATATGTATGTGAATATAACTATACTTGAACATGTATTTTCTTTGATTATAGATTTATTATTTTTCTAAATGTATTATTTTGTAGTTTGTAGATATGGCATTTAAGGTATAAAAGGGTAGGAGTACATAAGTTTTGCTTCTTCCATGTCCTTTTTGCACATGTAAATAGAGGTGTTTAAGGTAGAGGTGTTTGCCAAAGCTTCCATGATTCACTTCTACACACTATTCCTCTCCAGATGCACAAAATGACATATGTGTTTAAGGGAAAGAATAAAAAACACCATCATTATTAAGGTAAAGTAGGCTAGTTTCTTTTCCATGTTAGCAGATGAACCAAATGACCTATTAATGAAAGAACAACTTGCTGTCTTCTTCCATTATGTTCACAGTGGAATTACTTAGGATCGAGCAATCGGTACCTACCATATAACAGACCTTGGCACAGAAGCACTGGCTAAGGCTATCTGTGAGGACTTAAAGAGGTCATATTATGCTAATTTCCAGGTTTAAAATCATATTTAGGAGTTGTACCAGGTTCCATTTGCTTTCACATGGTTTCATTTTCTAAGAACACCATGTTTTTGTCATACTGCACATTGCTGCAGCTCCTCTTTTCACCCTGTGTGTTGAACACTTGGTTTTAGCTATGGAGTGATGCATTTTGCCTGTACAAGATCTTTGTTGGGAGTTGCACATGCGCAGTTCCTAGTTAAGGACAACTTGCCAATCAGAAGCAGAGTAAGGCGGGTCGTGTGAAGCCGGTAAACATGGCTTCGCTTCAGCTGTACATGTTCCTTAGCGGCACAGACTGGAGCGAGATTTTCAGAGTGAGGAGTTATTAATCTGTAACAAATGTATCTTTCTTCCATAAAGTTTTAACTGAGCTCTGTCTCTACATCACAGGAACAACTTTATGTCCATTGACTGCCTGGAGGGTAGCTAGTGTTTGGAAGGGAGAGGAGAGGTTTGTGCTGCAGCTCACTGTTTTTCCACCGGTGTTTTGAGGGAGTAGCTGCTTGGCGAGCGTTATGATGCTCATTTTGCTGTGATGTCACAGGGATGAAAGGGAAAGGCTGGACTACAAATGAGCTGTTTTCAGGTAGTTCAGAGGAGTGTTTTCTGTGGGAGAACTCCCTTTGGGCTGGACTTTGGGCTTCTTCGCTTTGCAAACCTTTTACATGCATAAAAAGATATATAACTATAAAGGAGAGGGAAAAGCCAAAAAGCATAATATGACCTCTTTAATGAATCAAGGCATATGGCTTTGTGTGGGACAATGCTATGTAGGGTGTGAAGTGTGAAGGTGTAACTACAAGAATAATGCCACATTGCAGTGTACATCATATGGACTATCAGAGAAGCTTCAGACATGGGGCCCGGCCATCCCAAAAGTTGCACACTCATTCTAAGTACAAAGGCCTAATGCAATGTGGTCGTACGATGAGTGGATTTTCCAGAAAAATGGGCTTTCTGAGAAACAACCCTTGGCCAAAAGGAGCAGCGAGAGTACAACAAGTGTAAAACCAAATTACTCGGTTTGTAACAGAATCCACCATAAGACAGCAAGAGGTTGGACAGCACAATAGACCCTTCTTTGAAATCCTCGGCTGGTTGCTTTATGCTATCCAGGCATTTGATAGGTCGTCCCCCAGGTTTTTGGAAGTGATGATGGCTTTTACCAATGCATAGAAAACCCAAAGAGCCATTAAGGATCTAGTATTCTTGACTGAGAACGATAATGATGATGAGAAGGACGTCTTGTCCACCTTGAACAAGCTCAACTCTGAGGGCATTTTCAGAGGTTAGCAAGCTCTTCCACATTGCTGCAACATTGACTGTGTCTACTGTGTCAAATGTGAGATAATTTTCTAAAAACTATCTCAGAACAATGAGTGATGACAGATTAACATATTGTGGTTATGGCTGTGGAATTTACACTGGTAAACACAAACATGGATAATCTATTGACAGGTGTTGCCCAGTTAAGGCCTAATAGACCAAACAGCAGAAGATGGTAATGTCTACCTCGTCTGATCTGCTGATCTAACATTTGTGTTGCCCAAAGAAGAAATACTGTGAATGCCTACAGCAACCTGCAGTTATTTTATGAATTGTACTATAGTTAACCATTGTTGGCTTTGTCAAAGTGTGTTGGCGTTACGTAAGAAACAAGTATGCAATTAGACGTTATTTAATTTGTGGACTGTAAGGCTTAACACTGACTACCTGTTTTGTTGTGTTCTGTTGGACCTGTGAACTGTGACCTGTGAACTGCAGGTGCCTGGACAGCAGAGACATTTCTGAGAGGCAACTCGGACTTTAAGTACCACTTCTTGAAACTGAAAGTATTTCACTGTATGGTCATTGTATGCATACATACACTTACATAGGTCCATTGGTTTGGTAGTGTGTTACATTATTTTTCCAAACAGCCTGTACAAATGATGTTCACAAATGATAATTTTTTCAAACATGTAGAAGCCTGAAATCAACCTTGAGAGGCTAACTACTTTGAAATAACATGAAATGTGCCTATTTTTGTGCCTGTGTTTGCTGCGTTTTGATAACTCCTTGTTTATGTACTAGAAATTAGCATATTAAGTGTGATTTATACTCCTACGGCGTAGCCATGCATTTATGCTTATGCGTCGGTGTCTCCGTCCCAAGTTAGCCTGCTCGGGCGGCAAAAGTCAACACAGTGGATGCTGTAGCCAAACGCAAGTTGGCGGTGTAATTGCAGAATGATGGAGACACTGATATATTCCCACCTCCGGTATCAAATCCATATTATTTGTGGTCATTACTTTATGAGATATGCACTGTTAGTCTTCAACCCCGTTACGGACTCTCTGGAAGCTGTCTGAATATGATTATAAAATGCATTTATCATGAAATCAACATTTTCCTATTTATCAATTGTCCCTCACACTTATTCAGTAATTGCAAATATAAAAATTATATAAAATCTCATACTTTTTCTTTACTAAAGCCTAAAATTGGCACTTTTTGTGAAAGCAACTTTATAAGTTTTTATCAAATATGTGGTGGTTTAACTTCAGAATTTCAACTAAAATCAGTATTCTTATGATAGCTCTAACCATTTCAGAAAGAGTTCCACCAATATGAAATTACGTTTTCATAAACTTAATGAAATTCACTGTATCATTTTCTATAAACATTGTATTTAATTGTGTAACCATTTAAGTTGTATTAACCCAACTGCAATTTTTTATTCATCCTAGGAAATTGAGGACATTTTGGCTGGTCCTCACTTCTTCAAAAGACTGTTTAGGGGTTCAGGTTAGAGTCAATCTTAGAATTGGATTTAGGTTAGGGTAGGGGTTGGGGTTAGAATAGATAGAAGTATAAGTGTGTGTGTGTGTACACAAGGTTACAAGGTAGATTTATTTGTCATTTTACAGCACAGGGTTGTATAATGAGATGAAGTTTGTAGTTCCCTTTATGGTACTCGCAAAAAGCAAACACTATATACAATTATTATATACACTAGATAAGTGGATATTAGTCTTCTTAAGTTTCCTTGAGTGTAGTGGTGATGGCGCAATGGATAAGACGCATTCCTTTGGTGTGAGAGACCCGGCTTCAATTCCCCACTGTTCCCCATCCACCAGTGTCCCTGAGCAAGACACTTAACAGACATATATAGCAATTGTAAGTCGCTTTGGATAAAAGCGTCAGCTAAATGTAAATACAGCCAATTCTGAGCTTTCTTTATCAGTGTGGTAAACTCACAGATGAACCAGACTCCTTGATGCTTGTAGATAATGTGATATGATTAAATCAAACATCCAATCTCACAACTCTGTTATGATCAAAAAAGTACAGGGCTGAGTGTGACGGGGTTTTGATTTTTTCCTCTAGATGGCCACTGCTCTTAATGTGGTGAATATCAGGAGAGCACATAGTCTGCATACGATTAAGAAACTGTTGAAATAACAAAGATAATTTTAACAAGTAATGGTTTTCTGTGTTTCATTCAAGTCGTTAAGCTTGATGACCACAACATCACAAAATAAATGACTAAAATATAATCTAAAAGAAGGTGGTAACTTGCCTGTCTCTGCACAGTGTTGTTCAGAAGATGTTGATGTCACATAATCATCACATCATTATTCTTATGGGGAGGGATTTGTGTAACGGGTTTGAGGGTTTACTGAGATACAGACTTAATAATGTGATTTTAATGAATAATCATTAACATTAACAGCAAAAAATCACAGATAGACGTTTATGTAAATGGTAAAATGTATGGACTTTTAAAAAATTGTATTAGTCATATCCCAAGTATACTTTCACAGAAGGTCATGAAGGATATGACAAAATAGGTGGTGTCAACTGAAACAACAAGACAATTGTTGATATAAAGATAAAATGTATGTAATGTTTTTAAACTTTATTAAAGGGGACTTTTCAATTGATATAAAAAGCGTTTAAAAGATTAGGTTTTGATGACCCACAAATTAAAATACACTGAAAATGGTCAGAGGGACTCAATTCTCAGTTTTGTGGACTGACTCACAATTTTGAGGAGGTGCAGGTGACGTCGTAGGGTACAGGGCCACGCAATTTTACTCAGAAGTATAAGTCACACTTAAGTCAATGCATTTCTTTATTAACATTATAACTTCTGGATGTCATGTCACATTGCCATACTTTCACTTTGGCTGAAATAAGGCCCCCTACAAGAACACAAATGTTTCTCCCCAAGTTAGAACTATGCTATAAGTTAGTCACACAACTTACCTAACTCGTCCTGCAGAAAGCTGTCTGGTGGGTTCACATATTTCATTGTTGACACATTTAACTTCCAGTTGTGTTTAGTGCATTTAACAGTCCTGTGAAAACAGAGCAGCCAGTCTGTAATGGCAACTTCAACCACCACCACAAACACATTATATTCCCTGATATGTGATTCTGACAGAATGCCCACCTGCCGTCCAGGTCCTCTATGTCTTTGATGAATAACCCTCCTTGGTGTTTGCATTGGTTCTTGCATGCTATAAGGCCATTGTTGCTCTTGTATATGATGTAACATTTGCCATCCTTTGGGTTTTTCTTGAAATTGACTCCCTGTTTGAGCAAGCCGACTGCTTCAGTGTCCAGCGATAGCAAGACATTTGATCTTTGAGAAGTCATTCTTTCTAAAGAAAAAAATTCAATTTTAAATGGAGTTCAAAACATTGTTGTTAGCACACAGTGGACATTGTGGAAACCAATTTTAATGTCCAGATAGCATCCCGATGTTCAGGCAATAATTCGGAACTCCTGGCCTTCTTGTGGCTCTGACAAAATGGATGTGAGCCTTCAAATCAGGGCCTTTTTTGGCAAAGATGCGGTGCACTCCGCTGTGTGTAATCTAGATGTGACCCATGTGTATACATGGATAAAAAGAATACGATATATACATACGCAAACACAAATACACGTTTAAAAGAGAAAGAAGGAGTACAAGGTTAAAATCTTAATCAGAAGTATTAAAATAAGAAACTAACTTTGGGATGCTGGCGCTGATAGCCCATCACTTAAATAAACAGCTCAGCTATTAAATATCTTGGTATCCATGTTTCATCTAACCTCATGGACTATTTACACTCAACTTTACTCCGTTACTTCAAATTATTAAAGATGACTTAAGCAGATGGAACAACTACCTCTACGCCATGACCCCTTTCACTCCTCTCCTCACCTCTGGGCATGCACTCGCTTTTTAAGTCAATCACAACAGCATTTTAGTGGGAATATAAAAAACCCAGAATCAAATTCGCCACCATACCAAACCTTAAATGCCTTGGTGGCCTAAACGCCCCAAAGATTGCTACTTTTGATTCTCCCCAGAACACTTCCTTTCCTTCATTCTGGAGACATTTTCTGCTCCAATTTATAGTGGAAACATCTTTATTTATATAAAGGGAAACAAAACAAAAACTTCAGCTGGCAGGCGACAAGTCATAAATATAAAAATAACAGATTATAAAACAATAATAAGCAGCTTGTTTATTTTGTAGCTTTAGTTAAATTTTTTTTGGACAATACACATTTGTTTGTTCTATATTTAAATTGCAATGTATGTTTTCTTGTTGTGCAAATAAATCTTTCTCAAAGAATGGAAGCTATTTTTCAGAACATTTTTAACAAATAACACCTATGTATCGCACATTGGAGAACATGTAACAATTACAACAGAGTTGTTTGGAAAACAGAATTATTTTGCTGTTGTTATGCGAATAAAGCAGCAGATAAGTAGGTTGCTGTTCACTGTTAGAGAAAGAGGAAGCAGTACAAGAAAGCATGTGAGAAATGAACGACAAGCTGCAAAAACATAGCATGTTAAGAGACACCTACCTTCTTTCTCAAGGCTCTAATCCCTGTAGTTCAGCATTTCTTGTTGGAGCTATTATCTGCATGCTCAGTGTCAGTCACTATTTATCAGAGGTGTAGGGGCAGTGAGTTGGGTGGGGACATTGTGACGTGTTGTAATTGCCCCTCCCCAAATGGGACCTCAGAACTGCACTTGTTCTGTGAGTAACACTTATTTTTTATGTCCTGAGACAAAATGTAAATATAGTTGTAGAAAAGGTGGCTCCAAAACAGTATTTAAAATACCAAAAAGCTCTCCAGCATCCCCTAAAATGGCATTTTCCTCTTGTCCCACCTTCTTGATGACCAACTTGCAACACTTTAAATAAGTTTTAATGCAGAGTAACTGTTAGCTTCCTTCAGGGAAATGTAGCAAGCTAAGCTACAGTAACATGGCAAAACATTTGTCGGCTAAACATGTCACATACAGGTCCTTGTATGGCGGTGGGGTCACTTGTCAATAAAAGAACCTTGAAAAGCTATTTGATTCAGAAAACAGCGACGTTAAACCCACGCTTAGAAATGTAGTTAAACTAGTAGTGGCATTACATGAAAAGAAGCTACTCTCCAACACTGGTCTGGCAACATTTGTGCAATTAGCATTGATTTGCAACCCCAGGCTACTCTAGAGTTTCAGGGTTTTACAGTTTTGCATCACTGTCAGTTTACTCAGAAGAGACAATCTATTGTGTATAGCAGCGGTTCCCAGACTTTTCAGCAACACACCTCCTTCTACATCTTGACCGGGTTGCTGCACCCCAAAACCCCCTCTCTCTCAAGGTTATATATAATTGTATATATATATATATATACTGTGGTTTAAACTATTCAATTTTGCTCATAAAGAACCAGATGTAACCAGTAATGGGACACACCTTCCAAAAAGTATGTCTTGTCAGTTCACAGAGTATTTTGGCAAATGTTAGACAAACCTTTGTGCTCTTTTTAGTCAGCAGTGGTTTTCGCCTTAAAACTCTCCCATGGAGGCCATTTTTGCCCAGTCTCTTAGGCCCAATCCCAATGTCCCCCCTAAGCCCTGAACCCTGAACCCTCACAGACTTTACCAATTTCACTTGGAAATTGATTGAGTTTAAGAGGCTGCAAGGACTCAAAATGCTGTAAACAGGAACGAGACAGCCCTTTGCCACTTTATCACATTACCTTGACGATGCTGAAACATGTTGCACACTTTTTGTGTTTTGTTTTTGCCTTATTTTTAAATCAATAAACTATTTTTGGTCAAATAGCATCATTAAGCAAAAACTAAAATAAATAGTTGAATAAACTAAGTGTGTAATAAGGTGATTGCATTCCTCTGACTTCATGTGTTCTATGCAGCATCTTAAGTTAAGTAAACTTTCAACATTTTTAACATCAGCGTAGATGTCAATGCTTGTTTGTTTACTGTTTTCTTCTTCTCTTATAACGCGGATTTGCCGTGATATTTCTCTCGCTTCCAAGCTTCCCCTGGTTACCCCTGTGTTTCACGTCATACTGCTATGAACTGTGGGCAATTCCCTCAGCCAAATTCTGCAGAAATGCAGACTTACAAAAAGGGTCTATAAAGGGCTCAAATTGTCCGCGAGAGAACCCTTGCGCACTTGACCATTTGACAGTGGGTCAGCCCTGCGCCCTCACAGACTTCCGGGGAACGGGTCTCAAAGTCTGTGAGTCTGTGAGGGTGGACATTGGGATTGGGCCTTACTTATTGTTGACTATGACCTTAACTAAGGCAAGTAAGGCCTGCAGTTGTTTAGATGTTGTTGTGGGTTCTTTTGGGACCTTTTGGATGAGTTGTCAGTGCGCTCTAGGAGTAATTTAGCGGATGCGTTGGCGTCTGTAACTACCTGTCAGAAGCTCCGTCTTAAACCTGACTCTGATCTACTTTTACGTTACATTTTTTATATCCTTTTTATTTAACTTAAGTTTTTAACAAAAAGATTGCTGACCTTATGGAAGACATCCGATGACTTTCAGAGGAACTCAAAGAGACTGGCTTTATGGATGTCGCTTCAGTACAAGCCAAACAGATTGTTTCTCTTAGCGCAACCGCTAACATCCAGGACACCACGCTATGGGACCCCTCTACCCTTCCAAGGCTTTCCTCCTGCTCGACTCCGAAGCATCAGTCAACCTGGGTCCATGGGTGCAAGAGAGGCTCGGACGGGGCTGCCTCTCCTCCGCACATCGGCCTCTCCAACCGCTATGAAGCCCTGTCTGACGACAAATTCTGGTTGCAAATGAATGACTATAGCCAGCTAGCTGAACTGCGTCCGCCTCAAAATGATTGAGTCAACCATGTTGATGACCCCACCAATGCTAATGCAACTGAATTTTTAAACATGTCCAACTTCAAACAACATGTCAAAGGGCAAACACATAACTGTGGTCATACACTGGACTTGGTTTTTAACCTGGGTGTGATCATTTCCTCGGTGGAGTTAGTGGACATGACCATATCTGAACACAGATGTATTGTTTTTAGCTGTGATTCGCCTGTTACTCATGCCTCCTCAGCAAGCTCCGTGTGTTCTCGCATCTTTAATGAACAAAGCGTTTCAAAGTTTTGCACATTCTTCAGAGCCAAAGCCAACACCTGTCTGATTCCAACACCAACAATCTGGTCGATCACTTCAATCATATCTGATTGTTGTCACTAAATATTACTGTCTCCAAGTCCATTAGTCTGAAGGATTTATTAATTAACTACAATGGTTAAGGATGCGAGAACACACTATTTTTCTGAACTCATTACTACACATAAACACAATCCCAGGTTTCTGTTTAAGACTGTGGATCAGCTGGTAAACCCAACCCCTCCTTGTGCCTCAGCTGGAAGTAATGATGACTGTGAATTGTTTTTATCTTATTTTACCAATAAGGTGGTGTCAATCAGAGCCTCTATTACCCCAGCGGCCTCTTACTCAGAGGTTCCTCACCAGCAACAAGAGAGTTTTAACCAGTTTTATCCCATCGACTTGTCTGAGCTTTTAAAAACAGTATCACAAATGAGAGTGTCCTCCAGCCCACTTGATGTAATACCTACAAAGTTTTTACTGAAAGTAATAGATTCTGTTGGGCCCCATTTGATCTCTGTTTTTAACAGCTCTACTGGTTGTGTCCCTGATTATTTTAAAACGGCTTGCCTGAACCCGCTTTTAAAGAAACCTGCTTTAGATCCCTCCCTCCCACAAAAGTTTTAGACCAATTTCAAAACTGCCTTTTATTGCAAAGATTCTAGAAAGAATTGTGTCCAAACAGCTGCTCACTGTACTGGAAAATAACAAAATATTTGAAAAGTTTCAGTCTGGTTTCAGGAAGTACCACAGCACTGAGACTGCCCTGCTTAAAGTCACCAATGACCTTTTAATGTCTGCTGATGAAGGCATGTGCTCAGTCCTTGTACTCCTGGACCTTAGCGCTGCTTTTGACACCATTGATCACAACATCATGTTAGACAGACTGAGGCACTGGGTGGGGATCTCTGGTACGGCCCTAGAATGGTTTTCATCCTACCTGTCAAATGGGAAGTTTTGCGTGTCTGTAAACAACTATGTCTCTTCGTTATGTCCAGTTAAATATGGTGTGCCTCAGACTGACTACTGATGACACACAAATATACTTGCCCGTCGGATCCACAGACCCTGGAATGCTGAGTTCACTTAACAACTGCCTTTGTGAAGTAAAAAAATGGATGTCAAATAATTTCCTCCAGCTGAACTCAGACAAAACAGAAATCCTGGTCATCGGGTCTCAGCAGATGGCAAATCAAATACTGCCATCTGCTGGTTCCCTAGTAAATCACATTAAGCCTGTGGCAAAGAACCTTGGTGTTTGGTTTGATAGTAATTTAAATTTCGAGCAGCACACCACAAAGCTTGTTCAATCATGTTTTTATCAACTTAGAAATATAGCAAAAATTCGATCTATGTTAACTTTTAAGGACACCGAGACCATTTTATACGCCTTCATCTCATCACGCCTGGATTATTGCAACAGCCTTTTCACCTGTTTAACCCAAAAATCTATTGATCGACTCCAGACTGTCCAGAACTCAGCTGCCAGGCTTTTAACCAGAACAAAGAAATATGACCACATTACTCCTATTTTAGCTTCATTACACTGGCTCCCAGTATGTTTTAGAACTGACTTTAAAATTCTATTGATCACTTTTAAAGCTCTTCATGGCCTCTCGCCTTGTTATATTTCTGACCTTTTAGTCCCATACACACCAGCACGTACCTTGAGATCCTCGGGCAGAGGTCTGTTGTCTGTTCCAGAGTCTCAACTGAAAACTAAAGGGGACAGAGCGTTTGCTGTCAGGGCCCCGAGGCTCTGGAACAGCCTGCCTGAGGAAATCAGGTCAGCTGAGTCAGTGAACTCTTTTAAGTCCCTTCTTAAAACATACTTTTATAGGAGAGCTTTTCCCGATCTTATTTGACTTTATTTTATCCCTTTTATTTTATTGTATTTTACTAATTTTATATTTATCTTAAACGTGTATTTTGGTCTTTTCAATGTTTTCTTGCTTGTATTGTTGCCTTTTGGGTATTGTTGTCTTTGCACTTGTTGAAGCACTTTGTAACTTGTTTTGTGGTGCTCTACGAATAAAGATTATCATTATTATTTTTAATTTCGGGAGATGGGCCACTCCTAGGAAGGCTCACTGCTGTTCCAAGTTTTTGCCATGGATCATGGCTCTTACCGTGGTTTGCTGGAGTCCCAAAGCCTTAGAAATGGCTTTGTAACCCTAGACTGATAGATGTCAACAACTTGTTTCTCATTTGTTCTTGAATTTATTTAGATCGTGGGATGATGTGTTGCTTTTTGAGATCTTTTAGCCTACTTCACTTTGTCAGAAGGGTTATGTTTAGATGATTTCTTGATTCAATAGGTTTGGTAATAAGTAGACCTGGGGGTGGCTAGTAAAATTGAACTCAGCTTTCTAATTTTTAACTAAAATCTGTAGGTCAACCTGACAAGTTGAATTAATATTTAAACAACTCCACCAAAGAAGCAATTCTATTGCTGTTTTTTCTTTTTTTGCATACACCTCCAGTTAGTTGTTATTCATTTTGTTTTCAACTGACAATGACATAACATTTTCTTAATTATAATGATGCTTAGTAGATCAACAAACAGTGTTCTTGCTTTTTAAAATGTGATTAGGTAAAATATACATATATATCCATTGTGATAAAGCTTTCACAACACCATGTTTAGACTTCTGACACCAAAGCATTAAATTCCATTATTTTCATTTGGCAGACACTTTGTCCAATGCGACTTACAATAAGTGCATTGAAACTAGAAACCACTTCCACTTTTTAGTAGGTCACAGGACCAGCACACACAATATCTGATAAGTGCTCAACAAAGAACAACATATTTTTACCACTATTGTTTTCAATCGACAGTGCATCCATTTATTATTAATGATAAATTAATATATAATGATATAGTTGTAGTATTGAACATTTGTATATTGTGATCCTTCACTTAAAGGGGTACAGTAATCATTTAGCTGACACTTTTATCCAAAGCGACTTACAATTGCTATACATGTCAGAGGTCACCTGCCTCTGGAACAACTAGGGGTTAAGTGTTAAATGTCTTGCTCAGGAACACACTGTGTTCTGTGATATCTCACAGTGGGAATTGAACCCACACCAAAGGCAAGCATCTTATCCATGCGCCATCTGCTCCATATGCTAATTTAGCTGATTAACTACATAAAACACATACTTTACTGTTCCGTGTATGGTAATTCTATATTCTATATTATCTTTCTGTAATTTTTTTTAATGACTCATCTTGAATTCTGAACCTGCCCATCATGTAAAATGTTTAATTTTTATATATTGGATGGAAGAAAATTGAACACATACAGGAAAGGTGTCTCCAGGTGATGTGTGCTGTTCTTATGTCTTTGTGAAAACAAAGCCAACAAAAATGTTTAAATGTTTTTCTGTGACATGCTGAAGTAAAAAGTCAAATTGACTGGGTAATGTCAGTTACACAGCAATATCACACTAAAGTTTTCTAACAGCAGCTACCATAAGCTACTGGTCACACCAGACAAAATAAAGACTGTAGCAGCAAAATAAATTGATCAAGTTGATGAATTGTGTTATTGCTCTTGAATTTTAATTCCCATTTGTAAGAAAAAGATTTTTTATCAAAAGTTCCATAGGCTCAATTTAAACTGCATTACCACACAATGATAATGTTATTTTGAGAATGTAAAATTGGTCGCAACTTGATGTTCACTGTGATAGATTGTAACTAAATGAGTCTGTTTAGTGATTTTTTTATACCATGTAAGAATTGATGGATACATGCTAAATCAGAGTTATGGTCCTTTAAAGACAGATGGAAATAATTGAGCCATGTGTCAGTTTATCTCATGTGTTTTTAGCTCTTTTTTCTGTTTCACTCTTCGCTTGTTTTCTCAACGTGCAACCTAATCAAAGAAGATGTAATTACCTGGCTGGTATGTAAGTTAAATTGTGAATGTAAATTAAACAGAACCAAAACAGTTACTTGATTTCCACACACCAATAATCCATATTCATAACACTTCACAGTAGCTCCATTTGTTTTGCTCCTGTGGTGTGTCAGGCTCCTGTTTGGAAGTCTCCTGCAGCAGGAACTGGTCCCAGTCTGGCCTGCGAACCGGTAGCTCTATCTGGAAGTGGTTCCAGAACCTGGAGACCCACAGGACAGATTAAAGTTTAGGACATTTTACAATTAATGGGCAATGTAGGCGCTGAAAGATGTTGAAGTGGTTATTGCACTAAGAGGAACAGAAATCATTAAAGTGTGAGAAATGGAGCTGGAAGTGTCAGCTGAGGAGTAATCACCGAAAACAAATGAATTGAACAATAACAATAAAAAGCAGTTGAAGTGTAAACACTATAATGACATTTCACTGCCAAAATCTGCAAACCCAAATGAGATCCACAGGCATGGATGTAAAGGAGCTTTAAGTGCAACTCAAACAGCACTTGCAGAATATCCCGCGCAAGCAATGTTGTTCGCCGTGATGCCAATCTTGTGAGGAACGTGCTCTCTTATGTTACCTGTGCCTGCTACTTGCTTTTTGTTTTTGTTTTGGCCAAATTTGGTTAAATCGATCAAATCTGATAGAGAAGAGCAGAAAGAGTTTTTTCTATAAATTAAAGTACAACTGAAAAGTATTTTTCAAACAAAACAAAACAAATTCCTTTGTTTTTGTTGTTCACTGAAGACATTTGGGTTTAAGATCAAAAGATGAGTATGAGACAAGAGTTCAGAATTTGAGCTTTTATTTCGTGGTATTCACATCTAGATGTGTTAAACAACTCAGGACAAACCACCCTTTGTTTGAACCCACCCATTTTTCAAGTGAGCAAAACTATTGGAACATGTGGCTGACGATGTTTCTTGTTGCCCAGGTGTTGCCTTTTAGGTTGATTGTCCAAACATTAAATATCTCTGCATGACTAGTCTAAGTTTTCATCCCTGGTTCAAACCTATAAAGACTGCATTTCCTGTTAAAGGATAAACCAACATGAAGACCAGAGAGCTGTCTATGGGAGAAAAGCAAGCCACTGTCAAGCTGAGAAAAGAAGAAAAATCGACCAGAGCCATTGGACAAACATTGGGCAGAGCAAGAACAACAATTTGGAATGTCCTTAAAAAGAAAGAAACTACTGGTGTACTGAGCAACAGACGTCCAACAGGTCGGCCAAGGAAAACAACAGTAGTTGATGACAGAAATATCATGAGAGCTGTGAAGAAAAGCCCCAAAATATCAAGAAGTGACATCAGCAACGACCTCCACAGTGCAGGGTGAAGGGATCACAATCCACTGTTGGAAGAAGACTCAGAAAGCAGAAATATAGAGGCCACACCACAAGATGCAAACCACTCATCAGCAGGAAGAATCGGAAAGCCAGAATGAAATTTGCAAAGTACAGAGATGAGCTGCAAAAGTTCTGGAACCCAATCTGATGGACTGATGAGACCAAGTTTAATCTCTAGCAAAGTGACGGAAAGGCCAAAGTGTGGAGAAAGAAAGGAAGTGCTTATGATCCGAAGCATACAAGCTCATCTGTGAAGCATGGTGAAGGTAATGTCATGGCTTGGGCTGCATGGCTGCTTCTGGAACAGGCTCATTAATATTTATTGATGATATAAGTGATGATGGTAGCAGAAGAATGAATTCAGAAGTGGACAGAAACATTTTGTCTGCCAATTTATGGAATGCATTGAAACTAATGGGGAGGAAGTTTATCATGCAGCAGGACAATGAGCCAAAGCACACTGCCAACAAAACAAAGGACTTCAGGGGAAAAGTGGAAGGTTTTAGACTGGCCAAGTCAATCAGCTGACCTTAACCCAATAGAGCTGCATTTCACCTCCTTAAGAGGAGACTGGAGGGAGAAACATCCCGAAACAAACAAGAAGTGAAAGAAGCTGCAGTAAAAGCCTGGAATAGCATCACAAATGAAGAATGCAACAGTTTGGTGATCAATGGGTCGCCGGCTTGAGGCAGTTATTGCAAGCAAGGGTTCTGCCACCAAATATTAAATGTTATTTAAGATTATTTGTTCCATTACTTTTGCTCACCTAAGAATGCTGTGGTCTAATACAAACGGTGATATGTCCTGAGTTGTTTAACATCTAGATATGAATACCAGGAAATAAAAACTGAAATTCTGAACTCTTGTCTCATACTCATCTTTTGATCTTAAACCCAAATGTCTTCAGTGAACAACAAAAACAAAGGAATTTGCCTTACTGTTCCAATACTTTTGGAGGGGACTGTATGTGAATAGCTGATTAGTCAATTGACTAAACGTTTTGGTAATTGTTTTTCATGCAAAACATTTCATGGTTCCAGCTTCACAAATTTAATTTGCAAATATTTGCTTGCAGATTTTGGCAGTGATATGCCGTCATACCGACAGTCGCTGGGTTCAGTGCACTCCGCGCAGCTGTGCACCGTCAAGCAATAAAAAGCTTTCAGTAAATGAGATTAGTGTGTGTACTTGTGGTGGTAGATATCCGGGTCTCGGCTTATGCGGTTCTGGAAGCCGATGTACAGGTCATCCCAGAGAAGGCCGTGCAGCACCACGTATCTCATCACCCCAATCCTGTTTTTAATCTTCAGAGAGAAAACCAACAAACATCAGCGTTACTGCTCTGTGAAAGAAGGAAGCTAAACTTCAAGGGCCACATGTATAAACGATGTGTTCACCTTTCTCCACACATGAACTGGTATTTATAACATTGTGTGGTGACAATGTGCGTACTTCTGCATCCTTCAGACCATACATGCACATGGTTTACAGAGCGTGTGTGGTATGGTGAAGTGGAAATGAAAAATAAGGTGAGACAAAGAATTTAACAAATAGTCAGGACGCTAACATACTGATGCGACATGGTATGTTAGCTTGGCTCACCATGTGCATGCTGTGTATTGAACTTTTTAATTGTTATATGCCTCATGATTGTATTCAGTTGATAAAGGACTTGTAAAAAGCTGTTTTGTTAAGAATGTGTTCCATTTGGTGTATAATACATATTTAGTTTTCAGTAAAAGAGAACAGTAAAACATTAACTCTCGCAAGCCATGTTGCTTTCCTTATAGTTTTAACCACTGTATGTTGTTAGCTTTATGCTAAACATGGATTAGTTTCCAATCAGCAGGGTTAGCTGGATATGCAACTACAAATCCAGTTATTAAAGCTGTAAGCAGCAGACCAAAGACATTTGGAGAAGAATGTATTTTCTTTTATTTGCACATGAAGAATTATGAAGTATGGAGTGTGGAAATTATTATCCTTATTACAGAAACTGTATTTTGCTATATTGGTTTGTCATTATGTGACCTGGAAATTAGAGAAAGAAGAAAAATGTGAAGGATGGTTAAAACATACATGTGTAGAAATAAAGAATGACCGAAGTGGGGGAAGGAATTGCTCATGATTTCTCTATTATTATTTACAAGAAATTAACTTCGAACATTAATGGCATTTCTCCTCCTCCTTACCTTTGGCTTTAGTGAAATGTAACCAAGCTTTTGACTGCTTTGCACATTCAGCTGTCCTATCAAGCAATTGGCCAAATGAGAAACAAAGCATGAGGGTGTGAGGTAGGCCTTCACAATATGAGGAAACACTGTTCAGTTACCATGTTGATATGATATGCGACAAATAAACAAGCAATTTAGTGTGCATATTAGCTGCCTGGTTGTTTTTAAATTCAGGATTAGATCTTAACCCTTAAAAGGGCAACCATATAAAATTATTTTAAAAATTTTAAATAAATAAAATGTATTATTGCTATTTTCCAATAAAAGTAGTTTAAAAAAAAACACAATTTCATTTTATTTTTTTTCAAAATAGGACCTTTATTTTCCAATTTACAGTCTGTATCTCCCGATATATGTTGCCCATTTTGTCACCTATTTAATCAGTTCATTATCTGTTATTTAGTCTGTTGTGTTTTGGGATTCTGTCCTGTCTGTTGTCCTGCGTCCAGTCTCTTAGCGTTTATGGTGAGCTCTGCCTGATTTGTTATCCGTTTGCTTATTATCATTCTGTGTTAATCTGTCTTGTTCTGCTATCTTAGTCTGTTTGTTGAGTTTGACTATGTTGTTCTGTCTTCTGCTTGTTCTGTGTGGTGGTTCTGGTCTGATCTGCCATGTTGATATCTCAGTGTCTGCCTTAGTTCTTGTTCAGCTCTGTTCTTGTCTCATGTATTAGTTTCTGTACCATCATGCTTGAGTTCTGTCTGTTTGCTAGGTGTCTATTTATGTTCCCTGCCAGTTTCTTTAATTAATCTGATTTTGATCATTCTGCTTTAGTCTCTGTGTAGCCTTGTTTATTATTTTATTCATCCACATGTTTAAGTTTACTTAGTATCTGTCTTGTCTCTTATCTTAGTTCCTAGTCCTGTGCCTTAGTTCATGTCTTAGTGTATACTTCTGGTCTGTGTACCTCTGTGTTATTTTGCCCATGTCTGCTCTGAGCTCTGTTTAATCCCAGCTTCAGTCTGTTTTCCCTGTTGGTTGTAGTTATTGGTGATCTGTCTGCATGTCTGTCTATATTAGATTATCATTTATATTTCTCTGATATGTTTAGTGTTCAGTAACTTGTGTTGTGTCTGTTGCCTTCTCAGTAATCTGCCTGCCAGTCTCTGTTCTCCCCTGCCTGTCTCGTTAGTCCTGATCCTGTTCGGTGTTTCTGTTCATTCCCTGTCTGGTCATTGTAGTGTGAATACGCTCTGTTGTGTGTTGCTGATTGTCGAGTATCCTGTACTGTATATGTGTTCTGTGGGATTCTGGATTACCTGCCTGTTTTGGACCTAGTTCCTGTGCTGTATGGCTTCAGCTTTATTTTGGACTTTCTCTGCACCTTTCTGTGTACACCCTGTGTTGCAGTAAGTGTGAATAAAATCACTGAACCGTATCCCTGCTCCAGTGTCTAGCATTTGGGCTATCTTCTGCTTTGCGCTCACCAAACCCTTTAGGGTATACATTTAACATTTTCATTTTTTTTAGTTTGTGTTAACTTTTAAAACATTTTATAAACAATTAGTCAGCTGCTTTCTTTATTGTTTTGCATACAAAGTTTTTAAAAAAGTGAAAAAACAGAAGAATAGTTAACATGTTTTGAAACTGGAAACAAATCATATCTTACAACAAGCTATTAACATTTATAAACAAACATTTTTGTTTTTATTCTACCCTCTTCTCTGTGGTGCCCCCACACTAGCAATATCCAGTTGAGAGCATTCCAACCAGTGACAATTCAAAGCTTAATTTTTCACCTCTGACACATGATGGACATACTGTAAGTCCATCATGGCACTTCTGCTTTTAGGGGTAGATGAGTCCTTTGGCAGCAGCCACAACAGGCACCAATGACCTTCTGACCTTTGAAGGCTTTGAACATTGCCCACTCAGATTCCATATCCCCAACCTACGCTGAGATCCATCCATCCGTCCATCCATCCATCGTCAACCCCTTATTCTATGGACAGGGTTGCGGGGGAGACTGGAGTAAATCCCAGCTGACATCGGGTGAAAGACGGGGTACACCCTGGACAGGTCGGCAGTCCATCGAAGGGCCACACATAGACAAACAACCACTCACACTCACAATGACAATTATGAAATAAGGACAATGTAGAGTCCCCAGTTACCCTAGCCTGCATGTCTTTGGACAGTGGGAGGAAGCCGGAACACACGCATGCATGGTGACAACATGCAAACTCCACACAGAAAGGCCTGGAACGACCAAGGTTCAATCCCACAACCTTACCTCTGCACCACCGTGCCGCCCCCTACCCCGGGATGCACAAGAAATTCTTCCAGTCAAAGATCAAACAGGGCCCCCCTGCAAACATTCCTAGTTCTTCCTCACTATACTGGGTTTACGAGGTCTACTCAGATTCACTGCCATCTAATCTGGTTTACCACCATATGGTTATTGTGGTATTAGCATATTATGTTGAGTGTTACTACACCGTATCCAATAGAATTTTTAGACCCCCGTCTCAGCCGTTTGTGACAGTGAGGGAAACCGGAAGTGACGGCAATATCGGGATATTTTTATTGTGTTCCAGACTACTACCAGTGGTGAGTGGAGTAGCTCCGGCAAGTTATATGTTTTGAAACAGTGTTTTATGTCGAGTTTTAAATTGATGTATTAACCGTTGTGGCCTAACGTCCCAGCCCCTAGGACCCTGCTAACAGCCGTTAGTGGCCGTTGAGACACTTAATACTAGTGAATGCTATTGAGGTTGGATTTTCATACACTTCATTCATTCATTCAGGGCTGTTAAGTGTATTTTGAATGTAAATCTGTGTATTTGTTACGTCTTTGTATTGTTATTTTGCACCTTAGTGATAACTATGTATTATGGTTATGCACTTTATTTCAAAATGATAGTTGGTATATCTTGAGAAATTTAATATGTTGTACAACTGAACTAGAAACATGACACTGTGATTTAGTGATACTGAGTTTATTGATAACAGCCTCAGCCTATGACAGCAATGTCAACAGTGTTAGCTCTAAGGTAATTTTATGTCGTATAGGTCAGGTTTTTTTTAGGAGATTCAAAGTTGGGAGATCGCAGTCTGGTGGAGTCTAGACTGGCGGTGGAAAACTTCAGAGAACTTGGAGAAACTGTTCCAGTACTGGATGGCCAGCCAACCCCCACTTGATAAAGAGCCCGGTTGTAGCCAGGAGGTTGCAATCTAGAGACCTTACGCCGGAGAACCTTGGAAGACTCCTACACAGTGGCGCAGTGAGCAGCCTTGCCTGCCACTCGGCTCGCAAAGGGCCCAACCCCAATGTCTATCCCAGCAGCTGGTGGGCCCACAGGCCACCAGACCCTCGCTGGAAAGCCCCCCACCTCCAGGTCTGGCTCCAGGAAGGTGCCCCGGTTTCCCTTTTCCAAGTGCTGCAGCCCCTGTTCGGCCAATTTATTTGGGATCCAAGAATACTTCATAGTCTGGCCCCTCCCCTGGAACTAACAGGCTGATGCTTTCTCTTTTACAATAGTGTCTGAGGAAGCAGTGTTAAAGAAACTTAAAGAACTTAACCCATCCAAAGCAACTGGCTTGGATAATATTCCTACCAGATTCCTTAGGTATGCTGCAGATTCTCTCACCCCCTGTATAATGCATATGGTAAACCTTTCAATTACACTGGGAATGTATCCCAATGAATTTAAACAAGTGAGAGATATCCCTTTCTATAAAAAAGTCTCACACATTCAGATTAGAAACACTTGTGTGTACCTGTTATAATTCATAAAAAACATATATGAGATAAGCAGTGACAACTTCAATACTGTACTAAACAAGATAAAGTCAGATATTTACAGATGGAGGAACTTAAAGACATCTCTTCAAGGTAGAATTAATACAAGTAAAATTAATGTGCTACCACGTCTCAATTTTCTATTTTTTATGCTGCCGGTCTGTCCTCCTCCAAGTTATTTCAAAGATATCCACTCTATGGTTTCCAATTTCATCTGGGATGAGAAACAGCCCAGAGTTCGCCTGACCATACGGCAACGACCCAAACTGTTGGGTGGTCTGGCTGTACCAAACTTTGAACTCTATTGGTCGTTTCAAATCAGGCAGCT